CAGGAGGATTTGCCGAAGAACTTGAGAAAATATTTACAGATGAAGAGCTTAGTTTTTTACTAAACTTTAAGTTTTATTTCCTGTGTGCTGTCATTGGCCAGGAGAACAGCTGAGGGAATGTGAGCTCAACTGGCAGAAAGAAGATGCAGTCTGGGGTCCCAGCTCTACCACCTTCTAGCATGTGACTGACCCTAGGGACCGTAGTTTCCCTATTTATAAAACAGGGATCACAATACTAATACATTTTTTATTTTAAATGTTTTGTTTTCTGTTCAGTCCCAAGTTATCTCCTTCCCTCCACCAACCACCCCCACCTACTGAGAGGGCAAGAAATACAAACACCCAAAGACACCAGAGAAAAAGGAAAAGGCACCCAAGTACAAAACTAGTCATAGTAGCTCTTCATGAGGTAGCAAAGAATTGGAAACTGAGGGGACGTCCATCAACTGGCACAATATTTAACCAGGTTAATAAATCACTTTATTTAGAACAGTAGCAGCTAATTTTAGGAGTGTCTAGCATAGGGAAGATATTATTATTGCAACATACCTTTATCTTATTTTAAGAATACTTACCAAGGCAGGCATAAAGACCCTGACTTATCCAGGCTAATATGGCCAGAGTAATGAGGTCCCCAAAACTAGCAGCAATCGGAGTGGCCACATTGTCCGGGTTGATGCCAGTCTTCTTTGAGCCAACGATGACACCAACCATTATTATCCCTAAAAGAAATAAGGTCAGTTTATCATTCATATCAAGACTCCTTTTCCTATGCTTCAAGAAAAACCCTCAGATTGCTTGTGGGTAAACTATATAGCAAACTGAAATACGAACATTCATCCTAGAGCCAAACAATCAATCTGCCTCGATTAGATGACTTAAGCAAAAGCCACAAAGAAAATGTTCTGGCAAAAATGCCTTCTAAAGCTTCCAAATGGAGGTCACTGTTGAGATAAACATTTTCTTTCACCCATTATTTCCTGAGATGTTCAGTGATGAGTTATATAGTAGGAGACAGTTACTTTGTAAACCTGGAGAAACAACTTAATTGCATGCAGATGCTAAAAAACAACATTCAGATGGAAAATTCTAATTTGCTACCATGCGTATCTTGGATTTAATTTATGCAAGGGCCACATGGTCCAATATTCTTATTCCAAACCTCAAAAGAAAGCAGTAATTGGGAGCAACAAAGAAAAGTGGGTCATGTTTACATGTGTGAGCAACTAGGGGGAAAAACAGTAAGAAATCAATCTGTTTATACTGTTCTAAATTTTTAAATATTTAGAATAAGGAAGTAATGATGAATCCTAGATGGCAAAACATATACAATGAGCTTTGAAAACTCTATTTTAAGATACTCACTTTGGGGAAATAAATCAGCAGCCAGAATTACAAAGGAATCTCCATCAGTGGAAGGTTCAAAGAGAGGCTGAGACATCACAAAAGGGATTCCCGTTCAGGTACAGGTGGGACGAGGTGACCTGTTGGGTTCCCTCCCACTCTGAGACACGAGGACTAGGCAAAAATTACTAGGGGACGCTGTGACATTTGTGGTTAGATTAAGTCTGACACAAAGCAGCTCTCTGCAGATAGGGCACACTTAATAAATGGCTACCTAATCAAATTTAATAGATACTGAAGGATCGTCATGATCAACATATAACAGGGTTTAAGTTTCCTATGAGATCTAGGTGGAAAATTCGATAGTGTCCTGACCTTGTTGTTAGGAAGACTGAAATTCAAATCATCCCTCAGACTCTTCCAGGCCTCCGGGGCTGCCCGTGGCCTCCACGCCGCTCTCGATGGCCAGCCTCCAATGCCTGCCCCTCTCCCGGGGTCGCTGCTTTCTCCTACTCCCTTCCCACGTCCCAACTGCTCCTGATTCGGCTTCACTGGTCCTCCGGCCATCTCTAAGCCTCCGTCTCACCACATCCTTTGTGCTTTTTCCTCTCTCTCTCCTTTGCAGAGCTCTTCTATTCCCACAGATTCAAATCAATTCAATTCACTAAGCCCTGCGTGCCAGGTATGTGCATGATGGACCATGTCTCTCCCCTGAGATCTCCCTCGACATCCTCAACTGGCTCCTGCACATGTCCCCCTAAACAATCAACAATCACCTCAAATTCAACAGGTTCAAAACAATGCAACATTAGCCCTCTTTCCTCTGCCTCCCGCCCTCCATCATCCTGCCCCTCATCTTGACGTTCCTATTTCTGTTGACAGAACCACCATCTTCGAGCTACCAAGGTTCAAAATCTTGGAGTCACGCTGGATTCTTCCCTCCCCCACCCCACACACAATCAGCTGTCACGTTCTATCCATTCCCCTTCCTCAACCTCCCTCCTATCTGCCTCCTTCTCTCCAATGCCACAATCACTACCCTAGTTCAAACATGGCCTCCAACCCAAACCCTTCAAAGCTCTCCCTACTCCCAGTCTCTTGACTTTGCAGCCCATCTGTGATAGAACCACCAAACAAAGACAGGCTAAATGAACCTTGGCATTCCCCAGTTCATAAATTTTCCTTGACCCCTCAATGATTAAAATGCTAACTTTGAGGAGTGACATTCAGGGTTGCTACAATCTTGAAAAAGGAGGTTCCATTTTTATTGCATTGTTCAGTTTCCAGAGGCTGCCTCAAGTGGTTTGTTTCCTTACATGTTCACTCAGCCCAGGAATCTTTTAGGTGGAACCTTGCTGATGACTCAAGGACAAGGAAATGGCAAATATTTTAAATACTAAGAGATACGGCTTCATGGTTTTTACTGAAAGAGGTTTCCTTCCTGGAGATTTTACATTACTGAATAAAAATTAAGAAAGATAACACCATAGTTACATTCCTTCTAAGGTCCCTTCCAACTCAGATTCTGTGATTCAAAACAAAAGTCTGTTTTAGTGGAGTAATTTTTAAAATTCAGGGGCCTTGAGAATTCTGTAGCCAACAACATAGTGTGGGCAGCATGCAGTTACATACTATCATTGCAGAGAAATGCATCAAAGTTTTTGTAAAACTGAAACTTTTTTCTTCTACCACAGGAACTGTCCTTCAAACTGTGCAGAATTCCTGGAATCCTTGTTGTAATCTAAATACGCTTTGCCAGGAAAACCTCCGGACATTTTCCATCAAAGCTTTCTCAATTAATTTAACGGAAACACCCTATCAGGAAATTCAATGCTTAGAGCATTTTCTTGAACCTTTTTTCAGGATTGTCACTCCTGCCATGAAGAGGTCCAAGATATACCAGACTACTTACAGCCACCTGTCAAATTCCTAACGGCTAAAAAGGGACATTTCAAATATGGAAAACAAATATAAACTTCAACCACAAATGAAACAGACATGAATTATTGATCACTGTTTAAAACCAAAGGTGTTTACAAAGCAGTTTCTCACCCTGCAAGAGGGATGCAATAAAGGCAGTGGCCACGCTGCTGGCACACAGCAGGATGGAATGATCAAGGCGGTATCTCCCTTCTGGAATCCAGCCCAGAATGATGGCGGCCACCGCGGCTAGAAAGCCAACCACTGTCGCCTGAACCTGAGGGGAAACGAGATTCCATTCAAACAGGAGGCTCTAGCAGGTATCGGCATTCACAAGGACTTTTCTTGAAGCCACGCAGTCCTCACACAGGAAATGAAGAAAAATTGTTGCACACAGGACTCCAGCTACATAATCTTTTAAAGCAACTGCTAAACCTTAGTTTAATATTCTTCAACATTTCTTAAAATCCCCCCAGTCCAAAAATACGGATGCAAGAGTGTTTGGCCTTGAAGCCAGAAGACCCGGATTCAAGCCCTGCTTCTGACATACGTTAGCCGTGTGACAGTGAGCATGCCTTAACCTCTCTGGGCATCAGTTTACCCATCAGTAAAACAGGTTAATAAGACCTGTGTTATCTACTTCAGGATTGTTTTAAAGAGAAAATGTAATAATGGATGCATAAAATTGTGTAACCACAAAGAATTGTGTAGATATGAGCTATCGCTATTCTTGACCAGTAATTATGGGAAATCTGTGATCAGAAAGGGAGATGAGACAGTCTGGTGGGGAGAACAAGGTAAAAGGGGTGGGCAGCTCACGTGCGGCCTTGTGAACCCACAAATCTGGCAAAGCTCTAAAGAAAGCCCAGGGATGCTGGGGGGACCCTCCATGAAGAACACAGGGGAGCCAGGAACAAGAATGGCCCAGAATGAGAATGGCGGAGGGGCTGCGATCTGCACCACAGGAGAAAGGATGAGATCAGGAGGTCACTGTCATTTCTTTGCCTCCTCGAGTCCTTCACCACCTTGCAGGCTCCCCTCAGAAGCCAGCTCCTAGGGGAAGTCTTGCTTGATCCCTCCAGCAGGGACTATCACGCATTTACATATCTGTGTAAATGTTGGGACCCAGCTCTAAGTAATGGACAGATCTGCATTTCCTCTTCTTATCCCCAGGCCCTACGATGTTATCCTGAACATTAAAGCCGGGGTGATTGGTGGGGGAGGAGTCTCTAGACCTGTTCATTCAGCAGTACCGATACCAATCTCCACCAAGGCTCTTCTGCAAGGCACAGCCTTAGAGAGCTGCCTGGGACACTGAGATACGGAGTCTTGCCCACGGTCACACAGCCAGCCTGAATCAGAAGCAGGACACCAATGGTGGTCATACTGACTCCATCGTTCACGATACCATGATGTTTCTTGCCTTGCATGTGACAGACATTTTAAAAAAGCTTGATGAATTGAAGGATATGTTATTACTGACTACACTGATTCTCACGTCTTGTCAGATTTTGCCAAACACTAAACATACAAAGAATTTCAGAGCTGAAAGAAACTTTAGTAATCACATGATTAAACACCTTCAACTTTTAGCTAAAGAAACCGATGCCAGGATCTCTAGAGTAGCTCGGTCAAAGGCAGGTGGGCCCACCACTAGTTCTTCATTTCTCCTTCAGTGTTCTCAGAAGCAGTGGCACGGGTGATCTAAGAGCAAACAAACCCAAAATGGTACCGGCTGGCTTTGAAAAGCATCGTATGACATCATCTTTATGGAAAACGGCCTTCTTCATTATGTTCTGTTCGGGTGAATAGTAAAATTCCTTTGCATTCTTCAAGCTCGCCCTGGCTAAGGGTTAGGCAGGAATCTGAATGTGCCAAGTTCCTGGAGCAGCTGAACTGGGAACAAAGCTTAGCTATGAATAACACACACCCGGGTAATCACAGGGTCGTGATGACCTGCACAGAAGGCCGCCACCGGCAGGTGAGTGAGGAGAGGGCCCATAAGGACCCACTGCCAATTCAAGGAATTAAAACTGTAAAAAGGAGTTTTTAGTTGAGAATACAAATAGGAGCAAGACGCCTAACGTCATGCTTTCACTTGGCAGCCGTGAGGCCGGTTTTGTGTATACTCAGGGTTTCACCGGTGGAAGGAAGCTCCTCCCACCAATGCAGCTCAGCAACATTCTGCCGTCTCAAGACTGAGAATCCAGGGCATGAAATGCTCACGTGCCTCATTGAGGGGACAGCGCCGGTGTGCATCGGGAGAGGGACCTGAACCCAGGTCTTCCTGACTCAGAGGCTAGCACTAAACCAGACTGCTTCTCCCACTCTGCACTTACACACACAGACGCAGATGTGTGTGTGTGTGTGTGTGTGTGTGTGTGTGTGTGTGTATCTGACTGCAGATAGATCTAGGTCTAGATCTATCTCTATGTCTAAAGATAGAGATATAAACACAGCCCAAATGCTGCACCGGTGCTCATAAAATGTTGAAGCTTCCCAAGGAAGACCTCTAGCACAAAAATGTATTACAGGGTGAATGAGGCTGTAAGCCAAATCAGTGAAGAAAATACCCACACTGATCACCAAGGAGATGGCAGATCCATTAAAGGAATCCATCCACAGAATCCATTAGTCTAATCAGTGAGAGAAAATAAATCAACTAACCTAAACAGAATAATGTTCAGAGATCATGAGGGTCCATTTAATGAATCTCTGCCAACATATTAAATTGTATTTCAATGTACTAAAGTAATAAATGCAAAAGTTAAAGAACCTCATTTGCATTAGTGATATCGGGTCCTATAACTGAGCTCTTACTGAAACACCATATGCAAATCACCTACTTACCTGTTTCAGTGCCAAGTTGCCAATAATTAGGTTCCACTTTTCAATGGGGGAGTCCATCTTCCCAATATTTACCTGTTAAAAATCATATTCATGCATAATTCTGTATGTCATACATAGCTCTGTAAAAATACAAATGTACTTTGCAATTAAAACTCCATATGAAGTCTTAAAATCTAAACAATTATATAGGAAAAAATTCAGTGTGCCAAACTCCCACTAGATAAGGTTAGAAAATATTACTGTATTAAAAGCTATACAAAATGCAGTTCATCAAAAAGTATTCTCCATCGTGCTGTGATGCAATTTAGCTCTAAAAACACCACACCCTGCTAGTCCTTTCTCTTCCAGTCATCTCTTCACCTGCCAATTTCCTACCCATTCTTCAGGACACCTTCCTTTATGAAGCTCCTTCCCAGGGACCTCAGAGAGCTCATCTGGTAGGTACTGTCACGTCTCTGCAACTTATCCTCATCTTAGACTGGAAGCTATGGGAGAGTAGCTTTCTCCAAAGGTAAGGAAGGATCTTGCTTCTCAAATACATGGATAGTAATAACAGCCCTTTGGGGTAAACAAAGCACAACAACCTCACAACAACCCAATGAGATAAGTCATCTATATATTACCCTGACTTAACAGCTTCAATCTAGTTCAAGAAGCATTTATGAAGTGCCTATTCAGACAAGTCACTTGACACTGTTTGCCAGCTTCCTCACCTGTAAAACGAGCTGGAGAAGAAAATGACAAACCACTCCAGTATCTCTGACAAGAAAACCCCAAATGGGGCCACGAAAAGTTGGACGTGAATGAAAAAACGACTTCACAACTATGCTAGGTGCAAGGAATACAATGACAAACCTCAAATGGCCCTGTTCTGAAGATCCATGACTAGAATACAAGCTCCATGAGGGCAGAGGCTATGTCTTACATAAATGTTGCATCTCTTCTAAAAGCCAGCGTAGTTCTTTGAACACCTTTGAATGTGGCCAATAAGGAAATTTTCTTCATTTGACTACTGAAGGGTTATGAAGGGTTTTCTTTTTGTAGCTGTTACGGGGGGGGGGGGTTTAGGAGGGGGAGGAAAGTAAGAGAAGAAAAAACAAATGCTCTTTAACAAAAATATAACAGAATTAAATGTATGTCTCATTCTATACCTTGTCTACCACTCTCTGCCAACAGGTGGGAAGCATGATTCATCGTCAATCTTGTGGCAACCGTTCATCAGTCTTTTAGAATCATGAAGAATCACTGTATTCATCATATTTGTAGTTTCTCTAATCTGTTTTTCTTTGCAATATAGAAGTCACTAAATAAACTATTCTCTTGGTTCTGCTAATTTCACTAAGTGCCAGTCATATAAATCTTTCTAACTTCTCTGACACTATCCCTTTCATCATTTCTATTGCACAATGATATACCATTGCATTCATATAACACATTTCATTTAGCCATTTCCACTTGCTTTGATACCATAAAGGCACTGCACATATGTGTATTTTTTTTTTACTTATGGCTTTCTTTGATTTCTCTAGGATACGTGCTTAGTAGTAGCATCATTGAGTCAAAGGATATGTACAATTTAGTAACTATGGGGATGTAAAAACTGCCTCTTAAATCTTATTCTAGTTGGCTATTAATAAATCTTTTTTTCCAAGGAAAATAATTTTTAAGATTGTATACTTTTGGGCCAGACTCACTCCAACCCCACAATGCCTTGGTGTGCCAACAAATTCCTTTTGTCTTATTTCCTGAGTTTGCCTTTAATTGACCACGGTGAGGCCCAAACTAGGATTTTCTTTCGACAATTTTGGCGGCCACAAGGGGAAGGATGCTAGCATTGGGTGAGCCCCCCATCTGCAGCTGGCACTCAGACTTCTGTCTAATCAAGGGTCACAGCAGACTCTCTCAGCAGTTGGTCAGACATGGTTGGAGAATTAAACTCCCCAAATTCAGGAAGGACAAGGAAGAAATAGGTCCTCAATAAAAATTCTGATTCTTTCTCACTTGTGCAGGAAAAAAAAAAAAGAAAAGGCACTCTTGGAAGAAGCAGGGGTGAGTAATGGTCTTGCTCTGCACCAGAGGGTAGCCAAAAGGCAAAGGGGGACTAGCATCCATATGGGATTGGGACGGATCAGGTCTCCTGCTGACTCCCAATTAGGCAAGCTATTACGGCTTGAGACATGAAAAACCTGCCAGTTCATGTCCACAACTCAAGTGATAAAGTTCAGTGTGGATAATTGTGGAAATAAATTTGGTCAGATTAATATGGGACTTTGATTATTGCCAGCTGTGGATATGAAAAACTAGACTTGAAAAATTAGAGCCCAGGAGAAAAAGAGAGAGGAAGAGAGAGGGAGAGACAGAGACAGAGAGACAGAGAAACAAAGAGACAGAGACCACGGCACTCTTAAGAAACCACTTTTGTAGGGAATGAGAAAAGGACACAGAGTTTTGGTGAGCAGACACAGCAGTGAGGTGGGCTTCATGAGGCTTCCACTTCAGAATTTCTCTAGTGCATACAAGGTCTTTTACCTGGAGAACTTTGGAGGGGAATACCTCGTCACTCATTAAAAAAAAAAATTGCTGAGACAGCCCAGAAAGGGAGCTTAGAAGGGTGGGGTCTCAACACAGCTAGCCCAGATGTTGGTATTATTAAGCAAGGACTCTCACTGACTTTTGATTAGGCTTTCAATGGAAGGTTATGGAGGGGAAAAGAAAAATTGATATTTTTTCTCCCTGCCTTCACAACCCTGGCCGAGTTGGAAACTGCAGAGATAAAGATAGACAAGAAAAGGAAGGAAATCTTTTTCCTGGTTTGTAGAAACTTATGGCGTTACAAACTAATTAACAGACTAAAAATTGTAACTGAAATGTAATATTTTCACTATAAATTTCCAAATTATGGTAACTGCTAAAATACTTTAGTGGACTTTGGAGGCTTAAAGCTAGGATAAAGATTACTTGCAAATAGCACTCTCCTCTCTCCTCTTCCTGGAGGACATAGATATATTGTTCCAGCAAAAAGTGATTTCACTACTTAGAGAATAAGCAGAACTGAAGCTAGCATGAAATGATTCAACAGAATTCAATTGTTCAAGCAAATTAGTAGCAAAGTTACCTAAACTGAAATAGACTATGCAGTAAAGTGTTAGACTAGAACATGATTAAATAAGATAAGGACTTAAGAAAATAGAGAAATGAAGAAACAGTGTGTAAAATAAAAGGTTAGTTTCAAAATGTGTTGTTGCTGTTTGCTTGTTTTCAGAGGACCAGTGACAGCTCAGGGTGATGTCTTGACATGCACATGAATTAGACCGAAGTGAGGCAGAGATGCACAAAGTCATCAACCTCACTCCCTCTTCCAGAGTCATCGAAGTCCAGCGAAACAATGGATGATCTTGGTATCTCTGATGTGTGACCAACCTCTAAGTGCTCCATAGCACCTGTATCAGCCGCCTTCAAGGCCACTGAATAAATTGTTCTCATCCACCCATTTGCCAGGGGAAGTCTTCACATGCTTAGGGTAGACACTGTACAAACACATATGTATACACATGTGTATACACATGTGTATACACACGTGTATAGACACATACATACATAACTCAATGACAAGTCTGAGGCCTGTTAGTTACCGTCAACCTGAGTTAGCCCACCTGCCAAGACAGTTTTCCCAAGTGTGTGTGTGTGTGAGACCTTTATGTAAGCTACCGCTTCTTGGAGCTACAGGTGAGAGTTGGGTGGTAGGTAGTCACCAAAGGGGAATGAGGAGCCCTGAAAAGCGCTCTCTAAGCACAAGTGTCTCCCTGACATCTTTCCTGGGTCCTATTCTTTAACTTCTCTATATTGTCTCCCATAAATTAACTTGTTACATCTATGTAGATGACTCGTGTGTGTGTGTGTGTGTGTGTGTGTGTGTATGCGCGCGTGTGTGTAAAACATTTATATAACACTTTGTGCCAGGCACTGTGCTAAGCACCTTACACCTAAGCACTCATTTGCTCCTCACAACAACCCTAGAAAGTAGATGCTATTCTTATCTTCATTTTACAGATGAGGAAACTGGGGCAAACAGGTTAAGCAACTTGCCCAGAGTAACACAGCTAGTAAGAGCTTGAGGTCAGATTTGAACTCAGGTCTTCCTGATCCAGGCCCAGTGCTGTATACATTGCACTGCTTAGCTTCCCTCAATACACACACACACACACACACACACACACACACACACACATACACATAACCAGCCCTAATCTTGCTTCTGAACTACACTTAAGCAACACTACCTGTATGTTCAGTCAGCATTTCAAATCCAACATGTTTAAATCTGAAATGCCTGCCCAGCTCTGTGGTGTGGCCCAATGAAGACAGCTGGTCTTGAAAGCTGCAAGTGGTGCTTCTGACCTCACTGGCTACAGGACCCCCTCAGTGTTCTGGGAAGCTCTCTCTCTCTCCACACTGCGGAGAAAGTTCTGATGTCCCCTGGTCAGAGGGAGCTTCTGCATAGTGCAGTGACCTATGTGATGGAATCAGAAAGCCAATCCCCATCCCTCCCCTCCTCACCCCACCCCCTCACTAAACCGTGGTTACTTTTGCTGAAGATGATGCCACCATTTCACAGAGTGATCTTAGAGTTTCTTGGAGTCTTCTCTACTATTCCCTTCATCTTCAATTCCATCTCCCCGACTTCTCTCATATCACTCCCCTTCTCGAACCCCTTCAGGGACCTGGCACCTCTCACCTGGACGACATTTCTGGTCTCCTCTTTGGTTCCCTCCTGCCAGTCTCCTCCACACAGCTCCTCGAATCACCTCCCCAAGGCGCCTTCCTAAATGACTTCATAGTCAAAAACCTTCAGGGGCTCTGTGCTCCTGTTCTGCTTAGCTCATAAGGTTCACGACAGATCTTTCTGTCCTTGCTCCCACTGGTGCCCTCCACACACTGATCTTAATGGAATGAGCCAGACTGGCTGTTTCCCCTGCTGCTCGTTCAGTCTCTTGCAGAAGTACCTTTGCCCAGGCCCAGGGTCTGAGTGCTCAGACCTGCCTCCTGTGCCATCCTGAGGGATCAGCAGTGCCGTTCTCTCCAGAAACTACCTATAGAAGTCGTGCCCAGAGCCTTGCATGTGGTGGAGACTTCAGCAGGGTTTGTGGAGTTGAGCAGAGTTTGATTCTTCGGCTCATCTCCAGAGGGCAGAATCAGGCCTGGCACAGAGAGATGCTGGAGACTTCCTCAGGTGGGAGCCTCTCTGGAAGTCTTCAAGGAAGGCTGGTGACCACTCCTAAGAGAGGTCATAGAGGGTATTCCTGTTTCAGATTCAGGCTGGACAAGACGATAGCAGGGGTACCTTAAGCTTCTTGGGTTGTGTGACTTTTTACAATGAGCGAATCCTCTCTCCCTGTTTATACACATACACACACATACACATATAGACATACATGCATACACATATGTGTATATACATATACTTGATTCCTTAAGTATCTCAAACACTTTGTGATTTTCTCATTTGTTCATTTCTCTCTTTTCTTCTCTCTGCCCTTTCTTCTGTAGTCATTACCTATCTCTTTCCCTAGTTTTTCTCTTTTTTCCTCACTTTTCTATTTGTCAGCTCCAGGTGTTCTTTTTAGTACTCTTCTCTCCCCTTCCTCCTGAGCGTTTCCTTTTGTCCCTACAGCATTATCAGAACTTTTTTTGGGGGGGGAGGGGAAGCAATCAGGGTTAAGTGACTTGCCTAGGGTCACACAGCTAGTAAGTGTCAAGTGTCTGAGGTCGGATTTGAATTCCCACCTCCTGCCTTCAGGGCCAGAGCTCTATCCACTGCACTACCTAGCTGCCCTTACCAGAACTTTCTAGAAAACATTCTGTGGCTTTCTGTAGCTGCAAATGATTCTATATGAGTCCTCTGTGCAGAGTTGGTTTTTAATAAATGGTTGTTGAAAAAGTGAATGAACGAGCTTATTCTTTTCCCCCCTCATTTCTAATAAATTCCACCACTGAAAATTCACTGTGCAGTGTCCTTATTTTCCCCTTCTCTAAATAAGGGGGTTGGCCTCAATGGCCCTGAGATGCCTTCCACTCTCCCCCCTCAGCTCTAGCATCCTGCTTGGATATAATGATTCAAGAGTCTTTTTTGTGTTTCACATAGGAATTGAAAACAATGATGATCTTTGAGGTTCCCTTCAGCTCTTAAGATTTTCTGATTTTTCTGACTGATGAGTTTAGTAATTTTCAGGGACAATCTTGGGGATCTTTACCTTTTGTCATGTGAACTTCAAGT